TACTAATATCAGAAATTTTCAGGTAAAACGAAATGCGAATATCAGAAATTTCAGATAGTTGTTGCGAGAAAATTTTTTTTCAGAGATTTGACGCAGTCCTACTTGATTTACTAACGAGTAATCAATAGATCAAGCAAGCTGGCTATTTGATTGAGCGGGTCCTCAGAATGAGAGGTCCGCTCCGATACCAAACTGTTGCGTACTGTAACTGTGCAGACCAGAACAAGAACCGACCTTACAAGATGGCGTAGCGGAAGACTTAGATACCAATGATCCGAACAATCAATATTGCAATGCATCCCTGAACATACATCATCATCATCATTCCATGGTGTGAAAGGGGTCTGGCGCTTCACACAGGAAGACTGCGCCAGCCCCAACCATACACAGACGAAGAAGAAGGGGGTTAGACGAAGAGGAGGGGAAGATGGGAATGTCGTCAACACCAAGTCTTCGGCACAGGCCCAAATAGTCCCTCATCAAAATGTCTGAATCCCAAATGTCGAGTCTGGATCCAATGTTGTCAAGTCTCAAGTCACAACTCTTTCTCTCTCTGTCGTAGTCTCAGAAGTCAGGTGGTGAGAGGGTGAGAAGAGTTGGTGGACTTAGAAGAGGAAGAAGAAGAACTCTCTCTCTCTCTCTCTGTGTCCAGTACTAACCTGTAAAGTTGGCGCCTTGATGCAGGTACCTCGAAGATGGAGCTGGAGCTATGGCGCCAAAGGTAAGTACCGCTGGCCTCCGCCAGCCATCTCCCTCCAATGCTACTACTACCACCTACTAGCACCCAGCGCTGAAGACTTCACCTACAGCTATGGGCGCCCAGCGCTGAAGACTACTGCTAGCGCTGAATACTACTGCAGCGCTCCTCCTGAGTGCTGCGGCCGAATCCTGAAGACCACTTGTGCCTACTGTCCAACTACCTCCGTGAAGTGCATGGGAAAGTCCTATGTACTACTCGGCCTACCTCCTGACTGCAGGGCAAGGCAGTCCAGGAGGCTGCTCTTGCCAATGCCGCAGGGAGTCAGGGGCTGCCGCTGCAGCTCCTGCTTGAGGCAGTCGTGGGAATAGGCTAAAGATAGCCTGTTCCGAAAACCCTGTTTTTGTGCCTGAGTCTTAGGGTCGGTCGAAACAATGAGGGCCTGAAAATGGCCCTCCGTTTCAGGCTGAAAAGCCTCTGGGCCCAGAAATAGGCTGAAAACGGAATAGGGCCTGCAGGCCCTCGTTTTTCAGTTTCAGGCTGAAACGACCGGGGCATGTAAGCCCTATTTTCTAGGCTTTTAGGCTGAAAGTGCGGGACGGGCCCTGCAGGGCCCGTGTGGCTACGCAGTATGCCACACTGACTCAGCAGAGAGAGTCTTCAACTTTGACAGCCGCCATCCGCGCAGCAGCACAACATTAGCAACAACAGCAACAGCTGTTGGCATCCACTATCACACGCGTCAACAGCATCTAGGCTAAGCCCTCAGCAGCACCAGGCTGCACGACGGACATAACGAAACAACTCGGAGAGCGCATCGACCATGTCATCAACATCATCGGCGACCTGGGTGACTTTACCGGTCCGGCCACGATCTGCAGCACAGCGGTCGCCATCAAGACGGACATCACGAAACTGCAGTCACGACCGGAAGCTGCCTCGAAAGCATACAAGATGCCACGCTTCAACATCAGCGACGACTACAACAAAATGGATGCATTGGCATGGTGGCAAGCCTTCGTCACTGACGCAGCCTGCCACCACTTGTCGGACGACCTGATGATGACAGCTGTTACAGACTCCGCCAGGGCTCGATCCCTGGTCTATCTTTTTGCTGTTTCTGCTGCATCCCGTTTTCGGCCTGGCACCCTTTTTTCCAAACCCCTCCTTTGGTACCGTCGGATTTTGGACAACTGGCGCCATGCTGCAATTCGGGCGCCACTTTCAAATACCGCATTTTTCAGTTCTGCCCTCGGGGGTTTTGCGGAAATGCCCCTGGTACCGTATGTGTCACCGGTACTTATACCGGCTCCCCGTACGGTACGGGGACCAGTCTCGTACCAGTTTTCAGCTGCTGTACTCGTACTCAGTGTGACTTGCTATTTCGGCATTCAGAATCCAAGACTTCGACTTTGTGCCCTTGCGACTGTGTTTGTGTTCGACCCTCAGTCGTGTCGAGTGAGTGAGTGTGTGTGTGTGCTCTCACTCTCYCCCTCTCTCTCTCCTCTCCCTCGGCTCTCCCTCAGCCTCGCGCTCGTCACACTGGTATCGGAGCGGTTCGAACCCGCCCGACCCACCGTGCTTCGTCGTCACCACCTGGCCATTATCAGCATCATCGTCGTGATCGTCGTCGTAGTGCCACGTCATCGTCGCGATCGTCGTCGTCGTGCCACGTCACCATCGCTGTGCCCGTCGTCCTCGTCGTCGTGTCGTGCCATCCTCGTCATCGTCGTTGCTACCTCTGCGCAGACAAGTAATCGACGACAATTATCTTTTTGTTTTTTTTCTTTTCTTCTTCCTCTTCTTCGTCCAATTATCTTCTTCTTCTTTCTCTTCGTTCTTTTCTTCTTCTTCTTCTTCTTCTTCTTCTTCTTCTACTTCTTCGTCGCGACTCCGCTCTCGCTCCCACACAACTACCCCACCCCCCGACTACGATCCCGTTCCCGCCCATCTCCCCAATCCCCTACACCAATCCCTGACCCCGATTCCCCCCCC